ATATGGGAAACTTATGGCTTAGTCTTGAAGTAAAATAGTGTATTTCCTATATAGTAAGATACAGGTAAGATTTTACTATGGGTAAGACAATTAGATAGATGATAGATTTTTTTTTAAGACAACATATTTTTTTTAAAGATTTTATTTATTGATTTGACAGAGAGAGATCACAAGCAGACAGAGAGGCAGGCAGAGAGAGAGAGAGGGAAGCAGGCTCCCTGCTGAGCAGAGAGCCCGATGCGGGACTCGATCCCAGGACCCTGAGATCATGACCTGAGACGAAGGCAGCAGCTTAACCCACTGAGCCACCCAGGCGCCCAAGACAGCATATTTTTGAGACCTTGGTTATACAAGGTCTGTGGATTAACAGTAGGTTCCAATAGCATATTGTGAGTCACATAAACACTCTTCTGAGTTCTGTTCTCACAATAATAAATACAGGCTAAAGAGTGGATCGACATAGATGGAGACATGGATAGAGCTAGAGAGTATTTATGCTAAGTGAAATAAGTCAATCAGACAGAAAAATACCATATAATTTCACTCCTATGTGGAATTTAAGAAACAAAACAAGAGAGCAAAAGGGAAAAGAGAGAGAGAGACAAACCAAGAAAGAGACTTTTAACTATAGAGAACAAACTGGTGGTTACTGGAGAAGGGTGGGGTGTTGGGGGAAATAGGTGATGGGGATGAAGGAGGGCACTTGTTGCAATGAACACTGGGTATTATATGGAAGTGCTGAATCACCACACTGTACACCCGAAACTAATATTACACTCTATGTATGTTAGCTAACTAGAATTTCAATAAAAACTTGGGGAAAAAAGTTACTGTACTCTTTTTACTTTCATAAAAATGTAAAAGAAAAAAAATTCTGAAAGCATGGATAACTCTTATTTATCAAAAAAAAAAAATGAAAGAAATAGCAAAGAAATTTCAAAGCAATGAGCTACCTCAAAATCACTTCTCCACTGTAAGCCCCACAAAGCCATGCTGAATTAAGGGCAGGGTGGCAGAGGAAATCCTGGGGTCCATTTAAGGGGTTTAGAGAATATAAGCAGAAGGCTGATTCATCACTGGGGCATCATGGAACCTAAAGACCACAGTTAGCTTTGTAGTATATTTTGGTGCTTTTGTTTGGAAACAATTATTCTGGGAACTGGTAGTTTTTAATGATACTGCATTGAGAAAAAAACATAAGTCATGGAAGGCTGAAATCCTATTCTATTTTTTTAAGATTTTATTTATTTATTTATTTATTTAAGAGTGAGAGAGGAGAGTGTGAGCACAGAGGGGGAGAGAGAGGGAGAAGCAGACTGAGCAGGGAGCCCAACTGAGGGCTCTAGCCCGGGACTCTAGGATCATGATCTGAGCCGAAGGGATGCCAGGACTCTGGGATCATGATCTGAGCTTAACCAAATGAGCCACTCAGGTGCCCCTGAAATCCTACTCTATCTTACTTATTCTGGTATATGGATATCCCTATCACTCTAAGCTCTAGCATATTTTAATTGGGAGAAAAATGGAGCAATTAGCAAAAGTCTTATCTCCTACTTTTTTTTTTTTTTTTTTTTTTTTTTTTTTGTGATAAAGCCAGCAAGAGTGGGAAAGAAATTAAGGATTCCATTTGGGAAAGCACACAAAGGGTACCATTGGACAAGATGTTACCTAAACCACCTGAAACACAAGGGACTATCATTTCTAAAGACTACAGATCTCCCAAGCACCTTGCCTGACCCAGTCTAGTTCATCTTACCCTGACGAAGAATTGTTCCTTCCTCAAAGGAACATTTTCTACCACTTGCTCCAACTTCAATTCATCTCATTCTCAGATCCTCGCTAAGAACAGTGGCTGCACATAGTAGGGTATTAATATTTGTTGCATAAAGGGAAAATTATTTCCAACCGTTCTTGGGCCATTTCCCCTTTCCTCTTGAGCAAACAGTATCAATTCCTTTATAAATTTATCTACGTATCCCAGGTTTCCATTCCCTATCATCTCATCTTTGTGGCTTTTCTATAAAGTCCTTACAAACTCTCAGCATGTCACCCGGCAACACGGAGCACACTGAGCCTACGTATATAAGGCCCTCACTTTACTCTTTCACATGGTTGGTGTCAACCACATCTATTTCAGATTCTTGGCAATGCAATGAATATCATAGCCTTTTAAGCCTCAAATAAATAATAAAATACTAGGGCAAGAGAAAACTTTATAGAGTTTATGTATTTCAAGCATCTCAATTTTACAGACAGAAATCAAATCTAGACCAGTTATCTCTCTTACCTCAAATCATGCAACTAATTAGTAGAAAAGCTGGAACTAAAACCCCAGTTTTTCCGGCTCTTAAGTATAGAGAACAAAAGGAGGGATGCTGGAGGGGAGGAAGGCTGGGAAGATGGATTAAATCGGTGATGGGGATTGAGGAGGGCACTTGTAATGAGCACCAGGTGTTGTATATAAGTGATGAATCACGAAATTCTACACTAGGAAGTAATATTACACTGTACGTTAACTCACTGAAATTTAAATGAAAACTTGAAACTATAAGTAAATAAACAATAAAAATAAAAAATAAAAACTAAAGCTGAAAAAAACAGTTTTTAAATTTTATAATGTGTTTTTCCATTGTAGCACATCATGGTTATTTTTCCAACAGTAATTATTTTAAGACAGAATCCAGGCAAATGTAATTAAGACCAAACATAACTTCTATATACTCTAAATTAGAAAAATAAAGTCTGCTTTTAAAATATGTTTTCCTTGAAGACAGGTGGACAATGTTTTGCAATAAACTTCATTTATGGATTACTTCAATATAAAAAGCATATACTTTATTTAGTGCTTCTCAAAAATGCTGTTAATGCTCTTAAAGAGTGTGTGATTAAAGAACAAGCATTTAGGGTAAAAGGCATCCTTTGAGTCTTGAATTATTGTTGTACGTTTTAAGGGAATATGTATTTTATTCTAGGTCGTTCTTTGTTAACTAAAGCTGGCTCAAAAATACATAGAAAAGATAATCCCTTCCCTTTAGTTTTCTCAATGTATCCCAACTGATTATCATTCCATGGAGTAGAATATATGACATAGATATAATCCTGAATATAATAGTGTATGATCCAAAATTCTAGAAATTTTGCTCCAATTCAATTAAAATACATAATTCACTCATGTATTTCAGAAATATATCAGTTATATGAACAAACAGTACATTCCTAATATTGCAAATCCTGAAGTTGTGATCCAAATTCCTTTATTGCTCACGCTCAGACAGAAGCTGCTATTTCGAAATCTAAAATTCCTAATCCTTTGAAAGCAGCAGCTGTTTTTGAAGTCTAACTCTGCCTGTATACGAATGCCCATATGTATGTGTACGACCCAACATGACCCCCAAGTCGTGTCAAAACAATAGGAAATCTTACACTCACAGATTTCCTGGAAAATATATGAATTCTAAAGTCATCCCAAATCCAACAACACACACCAATGCAGTCTTCCATACCAGTACCTTTATATCTTGCAAATGCATATAAAAGTGCCCTTTACAGAGGCAGTTCTCATCAGATGAGAGATCAAATCTTTTTAATCAACACTAACAAAAGATAAAACCCCTACCCACATTGTCCAAAGGCAATAGTATTTCTTTGTCTTGATTCACAAATTTTTTTTTTCACTAAAAAGGGATGTTCTTATCACAGCACTTATCAGTCAGAGCTAAGGAAGGAAGGACTGATATTTTTGCCCACAGCCTTACTCTGCCCTCTTGACCAGGGGCAGCTGTGATTATTCTCCTATTTAAAACTTTGGTGCAGATAGCTTGGCTGAAGGGGCAAACTGAGCCCCCCCATTTGCAGGAGCCCACGCTGTGAAGGCACAAGCATCTATATCATTGCCAGTCCTGTCATCCCACTGAGATAAGCCAGGGCACCCGTCTCCCCTCAGTGCCCAAGAGACTGCAGAAATTCCACACTTGCAAATTCAGAAAGGGACAAAGGAAGGGCACAGGAGCAAGTCAACAATCAACTGACATTCCTGAACCTCCTCCAGAGAGCCGTCAGGTTCAAGAGCGCTTGGCCAACGGGGGTGGGAAGCCATGGAACCATCTTTTAATACACTGAGTGACAGTGCAAGGACAGTATTTTCTCTCTAAGTGGAGTACGAAACAAGCTCTCCATCACAGGGACAGTGCACTGACTACTGTACTTGACATCAAATAGACTCTGTTCTACATTATTTTATAATGCCTTAAATCCTAATAAACATAAACATCAAACTTGAGCAAGATACCCTTTTAATATTACATACAACTTCTTTAGATCATAGGTGTGGACAGTTTCCCTAGTCTGGGTGAGTAGGTGTTAAGACTTAGCATGTTAAACTACACAGAAGCTCACTTCATTAACATGAGTAATATAAAGTCCAAATAGTGACATATTAAACCAGAATAATGACTGCCAGAGAGAAGAAAGTTCATATTAATAAATAAATGCACCAAATTTTGTGGCCATATTCTCTTCTTTGAGACCAAATGAAAAATTTCTGTTCAAAAAAGACAACATTTCCATAAAATCCTAAAGCACCAGCAACTAGGGACACGGGACCAGGACATTTTTCTCTACCAGAACAATGAAAATGTTACCATGGAGGAATATTAAAAATTATAACAGTGCTCACTCGAGTGCTATAATTAAAACTGTGTCAACATTTTGCTTGTAGAACAGATTTTTCAAGGGAGGTTGCACATTAACCATTATAGCTGACTACAGACATATAAGACACAGAGGCTATTTTTTCCTCTAAGAAATATATTTCAATAGAATCAAACTGATGAGGCCCCAGATTCATATATTGTCAGAAAAAAGGCCTGACATATTTCAAAAAGAATATTCAGTTTAGTAGATATGATAATAACACATACTCCTTCATTGTTCATTTAAAACTTTATGGAGACTAACAAGTGCTCTTATTTTCATCTTCAGCATAAAACGTGTGCCTGGTATTACTCTGGTTTCTCTTCAAATAGTATAAATCTTTTGCCTTTTACTAGAGATTACCATAAAGAGGAAGAATTATGAGTTTTTTTAGGGTTTTTAAAAATATATATGATGTCTACAGCTTACTCTCGAATGGCTCAGAAAAAGCTCTCGCTCTCTTTCTCTCCCCCATCCCTCCCTCTCTCTTCCTCCTCTCTTTCTCTCTTGCTATGTACACACACACACACACACACACACACACATAAAGAGACAGAAAGAGATACAGAGACAGAGAATACATGATAAAGCAAATGAGGTAGTTTGTTCAAGAAATCAGAAAATCATATGGGGGTTCTTTGTACTATGCTTATTCTTGCAACTTTTAAGTTTGAAATTATTTGGAAATTTTAAAAAATGGAAAAAACTGCACCTGATAATCATCTTTATATATACTTTTACAAAATACATACCACAGAGCATCAGAAGCAAAAGGCCTTGAGACCAAGGGTGTCTCCTTCCTCAAACACATAGGACGGGAGGAATCACAACAAAGTGAGGCCTACCACATTTAAGTTCCAAGTATTTAGGACAGCAAATAAAAAGTAACCTGAGATGTCCTTTGGTTCAGTCTTATAAGACCAAGAGGATTTGTCCCCAGGGCTTTTTAAGGATTGTATATCAAAATGAAGAGAAAATAAACATAGGAAATGAGATGAAGTTAGGATACTGTGATGTCCTTTCCACCTGTGAGAACTGGCCGCCAGTTTGGGATGATCTTTGAAAATGTAATCGAAAGAACCGTACGAGTATGACTGACATTGGACCATTCATTTGGCTTCTCATCTGGAAAATAAGTGAGTTGATGAGAGTCTCTTCTACCTGAAGGATATATGTCACCTACAGACCCATCAAAAGTAGTATTTTAAAACAGAATCCTCCAAACTTCCTATAGGTGGGAGAGGCAACCACATTAATCACTAGGTCTAGATTACAAGCCCCAGCTTTCCATAGCACACATAGTTTTTATAAATCTCTTTTTAGAAAAACAAAATGATTTTTTTTTTTTGGCTATAATTCTACATTCCCAAAACATATGCATGAGTGTGTGCACGTGAAAGTGTGTGTGCACCTAGGACCACATGCAGACAACCGGGTTTTTCTCCCTGGAAACAGCTTTGTTCAGAGCATATTATCTCACTTAATAGTTACCATCACTTGTAAAAATAAAATAATCTCAAAGAACACACATTTCAAATTTGTAAGAAAACTGCTTAAAGGTACTATATATTTAAAATCTCAGAATGATGGGTGCCTGGTGAAAGGTCTGCCTTTGGCTCAGCTCATGGTCCCAGGGTCCTGGGATCGAACCCCACATCAGGCTCCCTGCTTAGCTGGGAGTCTGCTTCTCCCTCTCCCTCTGTCTCTCCTCCCACCCTGCTCCCTCCCTCTCTTAAATAAATAAGATCTTTAAAAATAAACAAGATTTTATATGTCAATGCAAATATTTTGCCAAACTAGTCACATATAATTTTACCTGAGGACTGTCTTTCCCCCCCATATCTAGGGGGGAAATATAGACGGGGAACATATCCTACAGGGCAATAAAGACAGCCAACATCACCAGTACCAATGATGCTGCAGGGAAAATGGAACCTACTCTTGGTCTCCTTATATGTTAGCAAAATACAGGAACAATAAGAAATCCCTTCTTGCCCTCCAGTGATCTGATACAGGTCTCTAAGACAAAAAATAATACTCATTTCCCTCATCATTGATGGCATCGGAGTGTTTACTTGGTGCTGGACTGATAACAATAAAATAAGTAAAATCTTAGTATCTACTTATTTATATGTGAGGTCCTTCTGAATATCAAAGTGACTTTACATGTGGTCAGTCTTATATTGTTAGAACAGCACAGGAAAATGAAGGAAGGCCAACTTGGTCAACAGAATAAAACCCTGCTACATCCCATTAACAACAGGGACTAGGGTGACCCTCCACGGGTCACAACATTTTGTATTATTTCCCAACTACTGTATGCAATGAGGATGGATTATCAGGGTGAAAGCTGAAATGGCCAGGAAAACATGATGCTTTCTTCTACCACTAATTGGAATGTGCCCATAGAGGTAAATGTGATACAGTAAAATGGGAGGTTGGACTTGATGTCTAAGACCTATTTCTGCAACTTAACTTATTTGGGCATTTATGAAAAACACTAGCATATGGAGCCTCAGCTTCAGCATCTGTAAAACAAGGATGATCTTAGTTACAGCACACGGGTCTCCACAGGACTCAGGGAGATAACATGACAGTGCTTGGCAAACTACAGTATTAGGCCATATACAGAATTAATATGATGGCAAGGTGCCACCAAAAGATGGAACTAATCCTCAATTCAAATTATCCTTTTCAATTCATGATAAAGGCAGCCCATTCATAACACCATATTGTATGATACTGGTATAAATTTCAAGAAATTGCTGTAATTGATAGGAAATTTGCTACACAGTATTAAGTACCTCACATGGTGTAAAGTGAAAATAAAAGCATGACAGATAATCTGTTGCAGATTATGAACAGAAATGGGCTCGGTAATTCTCACTTAGTAATTTAAGGCCTGTGGCTTTGTTCAATCCCAAGTTAGAGAAGAATGAATGCATGGAAGGAAGGAAGGAAGGAAGGTAGGTGGAAGGAAGGAAGGAAGGAAGGAAAGAAGGAAGAAAGGAAGGAAAAGAAAAGTGAGATGTAGACATAAACCTAGTTTTTCTGCATAAAACTCAGTGTATATTCACTTTCTTCAGGTGCCTTGAGTCTCTCATTAAAAATACTTGAATTCATGTCCATGAAATTCCCTCAAATCTCAACTCAGTTCACTGGGTAGCAAGGAAAAAAAAAGAAAAAAATATATATATATATACATACATACATATATATGTAAACTAAGCCATCAGGCTTGAGACAACTGAAATAATGATTGAGCTGATTACTTTTCTTTTTGTCTTGTTGCTCTGAGGCAAATGATATAACCATGAATCTTTTCTTTTAGTGTTTTTTTTATTCATCCATTCCTCAATCTCTTGTTGAATGCCCATTATGCGCAAAGAACTTACTTAATTAGTGAAAAAGAAGATTCTAATCAGTTCACATACATACATTCTAATTTGCCATTCGCTTCCAAGCTCTATTAATACGATAAAACTCCAGGCTTTCTCTTGACCTCAAGTATCTTAACATACCCCTAAAAATATACACACAGAGTACTGGAATTAGAGGAAGAAAAATCCTGCAAATTTGGAATCCTGGAAATTCTGCTATTGTAACCAGATTTTCGGACACATGCAAAAACCCTCTTTTAATGTTGCCAGTTCCTTCAAGAGTGTTTTAAATATTGCTGGTACATGCCTATAAGTTTTATGGTTTTAAAAAAGCTCTTTAATTTGTAAACATGCCCTGGAGCATCCTGAGAGCATCAAGCCTTTGAATATTTCTTTATGAACTGATTCAATAATAATGAACCAATAACAGGCTCACTGGCACACAAACTCCCCTCCCGAAATTAAAACTGTAATGACCAAATGGACCTCACAGGCTCAAGCAGCTGCCCCAAGTCATCAATACAAAGACAGTCAAATCCCGCAGACAAAAGTTACTATGATGGATTTAGATGTCCCCAAAGTATCTAAGTTTGCATTGAAGGTTTTAACGTTGGCAGCCTCCAAATAAAAAGAACATTATCCTCAATGGTCACTTTCAACAGTAATCTAGAGCTACAGAGTGCAGTGATTGCAGTGGGGAGCCCCCAACTGAAGTGTATGACTAAACATGGTTGGGGGCCAGGCTCTGCTATCAAGGGAATAAAGCTGACGTGCCAGGACTGGGAACCCAGAGCCTATATTCTCAGTGAGCTGCACAGAATACACATAAACGTGATGGTTACACCTGCCCACCTTCACTAAGGGAATTTCAGCTTGGCTACTGATGTTTAAACAGAATATTTTACACTGCAGTCTTTAACAACTAGGATAAAATGAGGGCTGTGGCAATGGCAAATCTTTTTTTTTTTTTTTAGATTATTTATTTATTTGACAGACAGAGATCACAAGTAGGCAGAGAGGCAGACAGAGAGAGAGGAGGAAGCAGGTTCCCTGCCGAGCAGAGAGCCCGACTCGGGACTCGATCCCATGACCCTGAGATCATGACCTGAACCAAAGGCAGAGGCTTAACCCCCTGAACCACCCAGGCGCCCCAATGGTGAATCTTCTATTCACCCCTTGCAACAACACTGAGTATAATACACAAGTAATATTTTTGTCAAAGAAGATATGTTCTCCAGCACAATTATCTGTTCTTTGGCCAGTTGAAGTAGCTTAGAGAACCAAGCCATGATAGTCATGTAAGGAAGACAGATGTGTGGAAAAACAGGCTCAGTAAGGGAGAATCAGTGGTTTGACAATCTCAGAGGACTTGGGGGCTGCAGTGGATGAGGGAAGGAGGATAAGGGAGCAGCCATTCCAGGGGCCACCCTGGGAGAAGGCTCTGTTTCAGCCCCAGCACGTGGCACCTGACAGGAAACCTGTAAGTGTTTGCTAAGCAACAAATGGTGGGAACTGAGGGACTACAACCAGGAGAAATCACAGATCTGAGACATTTTTATTATGTTTGAAGGAATAAGGAGTTTGAAGAACAAGGGGAACTTTGAAGGTGGAGTTGGAAGAACTGAAGACGAAAGAGAAACTCATGCAATGCCCTGGCCCAGCCCCAGGAGCAGAAGAAATGCTAGCACAGGTCAGGAGATGGAACGTGAGGTGCTCTACAGGACCTTCTCAGGGGAATATCACGGCTGAGGGGATACGATGTTGGTGCACAGAGCCAACGTGAGAGCACAGTGGTGCGGGTGTGGTGGAGGGCTCATGAGGACACAGGAAAAGCAGTCTATCTGGGACATTAGTTTTCCACCATTAGATATAAGGTACAACAGATGAGGGAACATAGGAACCCAGTCAGGCTTAACCCCACAAAAAACCTTGAAATAATGAGCTATACACTTCCTTTAAGAAGAAACAGTCTTTGGGTAAATCCCCTGAATTTGCAAACATAGTGACTCTACAAAATAAAACCATTCGTTGTCCCAGAGGCCATA